ACACGCTGCCGCACGCGGCAAAAAATCTTGATCTACCGTCCGTTCCCGCTGGCGCCTTTTCAAGAAGGCCTGCCGCTCGGACGGCAACTTCTGCTTGACGTGTGGAAGCAGGAGCCGGTGGACTGGGACGCGTTGCGCAAAAAATACTTGGACGAAAGACCTTGCCAAGAATGTGGGGAAATGAAACGCAAAGACGCATTCACCAAAGCGCAGTGGAAGCAAGAGACCTATCGGGTCTGCAAAGAATGCACTGCGCAGAAGCGTGAGGCCGGCATGCCATATCGATGCACACAGTGCGGCCTGTGGCACGGCGCAGCACACTTTGCGTCAAAGCATCACAACCCGCGGTGGAGCATGTATCGCGTCTGCCTTTCATGTGACACCAAAAAAAAATGTTTTGTTTGCAACAAGAACCAAACAAAGGAATTTTTCTGCACCGCCGCATGGCACACGAGAAAACCTGAACGAAGATTGTGCCTACGTTGCCAAACTAAAACTCGCGGCTTGTGGAAGTGCGCGACCTGTCGCCAACGAAAGCCGCAGCAACAATTTTCCATCTTTATCTCCAGACGGCCAGCAGGAGAGAATGGCACGCAAACATGCAATACATGCCGTGCTGCCATGGTGCAAGATACAATCTGCAAGCGTGCTGCCACGTCCGCCGCTGCGCGATTAGAACCTCTTCGCAAGCGACTCCGTCGCGCACGCGTTCTCCGCGAGACTTGGGAAGCGATTGCCGAACGTCGAAATAGCGATGGTCAAAGTCGCGTAAAACATTTCCAAGCGAGTAGTGCGACGGATGCGAACAAAAGTGATTGCGTAGCGCAGGCTCCTCCGGCGTCACGCCAAAAGTCGCCGGAGTATGTATACACGTGTCCTTTTTGTAACGGGGAGGTAACTTCCTCCATAGCTTCTGGACACATTGATCACCGTCACGTTTGTGGGAAGCAGTTCCGCGTCGAAAACGGTAGCCTCCGTCCGACCATGCGGTATGCGCACACATGCCCAACTTGCGGAACTTGTGTCCACAGCAGCAGAGAAGCGGGGCGAATTCGGAGCAAGCATAAACAACCGAATGGTCGCGTGTGCCCGCAGACAGAGTGGCAAACGAGTTGAGGAATAAGCTGCAAGTTCCTTCAGCGTCCGGTTTTTGTTCTACTTGTTCTACTTCTTCTTGTTGCAGTTGCAGTTGCAGTTGCAGTTGCTGTTGTTGTTGTTGTTGCTGCTGCTGCTGCTGCTGCTACGCTGTTTCTGCAGCAGCTGCTTCTTCTGCTGCAGCTGCAGCTGCTGCTGCTGCTGCAAGCTGCTGCTTGTTGTTGCCGCTGTTAGGCTTTAGCTGCTGCTGCTGCTGATGATTAAAAAGTGCTGCGCTGCTTCTGCTGCGGCTGCGGCTGCTGTTGCTCCTGTTGCTGCTGCTGCTCTTCCTCCCGAGGTTCAAAACGCACCCTGCTGGACAGGAAAACACAGTAGCCCTGAAGGACGGAACAGAGCCAAAATCGAGCCCAAAAGGTGCCTAACGTCCCTTCTGAAACCCTAGAAAAACATAGAAAAACAATAGTTTTGGACAAGGTTTTATAGTTTTCGACCAATTTTTATACCACTGTTTATACAATGAGACATAGAACCCTCCTGTTGCTCCTGTTGCTGCTGCTGCTCTTCCTCCCGAGGCTGAAAACGCACCCTCCCGGACAAGGAAACACACTGGCCCTGAGGGACGGAACAGTGCCAAAATCGAGCCCAAAAAGTGCCTAACGTCCGTTCTGAAACTCTAGAAAAACAATAGTTTTCAACCAATTTTTGGACCACTGTTTGTAAAATGAAACATAGAACCCTCCTGCTGCTCCTGTTGCTGCTGCTGCTCTTCCTCCCGAGGCTGAAAACGCACCCTGCCGGACGGGGAAACAGCCCAAAAAGTGCCTAACGTCCCTTCTGAACCCCTAGAAAAACAATATTTTTGGACAAGTTTTTGTAATTTTCGACCAATTGTTATACCACTGTTTGTACAATGAGACATAGAACCATCCTGTTGCTCCTGTTGCTGCTGCTGCTCTTTCTCCCGAGGCTCAAAATGCACCCTGCCGGACAGGGAAACACAGTGGCCCTGAGGGACGGAACAGCGCCAAAATCGAGCCCAAAAGGTGCCCAACGTCCAATCTGAAACTCTAAAAAAACAATAGTTTTCGACAACTTTTTGTTCCATTGTTTGTACAATTAGACATAGAACAGAACCCTCCTGCTGCTCCTGTTGAGGCTGAAAACGCACCCTGCCGGACGGGGAGACACAGTGGCCCTGAAGGACGGAACAGCGCCAAAATCGAGCCCAAAAAGTTGCTAACGTCCCTTCTTGAACCCCTAGAAAAAACAATAGTTTTTGGACAAAGTTTTTTATAGAGAGAGTAGTTAGTAAGTTTTCGACCACCAATTTTTATACACACGTTTGTACAATGGACATGAACCCTCATGTTTGCTTCCTGTTGCTGCTGCTTGCTGCTCTTCCTCCGAGGCTGAAAACGCACCCTGGCCCAGACGGGGGAAACACAGGGCCCTGAAGGACGGAAACAGCGCAAATCGAGCCCAAAAAGTCCCTAACGTCCCTTCTGAAACCCTAGAAAAACAATAGTTTTGGACAAGGTTGTATGGTTTTCGACAATTTTTATACCACTGTTTGTACAATGAGACATACAACCCTCCTGTTGCTCCTGTTGCTGCTGCTGCTCTTCCTCCCGAGGCTGAAAACGCACCCTCCCGGACAAGGAAACACACTGGCCCTGAGGGACGGAACAGTGCCAAAATCGAGCCCAAAAAGTGCCTAACGTCCGTTCTGAAACTCTAGAAAAACAATAGTTTTCAACCAATTTTTGGACCACTGTTTGTAAAATGAAACATAGAACCCTCCTGCTGCTCCTGTTGCTGCTGCTGCTCTTCCTCCCGAGGCTGAAAACGCACCCTGCCGGACGGGGAAACAGCCCAAAAAGTGCCTAACGTCCCTTCTGAACCCCTAGAAAAACAATATTTTTGGACAAGTTTTTGTAATTTTCGACCAATTGTTATACCACTGTTTGTACAATGAGACATAGAACCATCCTGTTGCTCCTGTTGCTGCTGCTGCTCTTTCTCCCGAGGCTCAAAATGCACCCTGCCGGACAGGGAAACACAGTGGCCCTGAGGGACGGAACAGCGCCAAAATCGAGCCCAAAAGGTGCCCAACGTCCAATCTGAAACTCTAAAAACAACTCCTGCTTGCAGGCAGCTGCTCTTCCTCCCGAGGCTCTTGAAAACGCACCCTCCCGGACGGGGAAACACAGTGGCCCTGAAGGACGGACCAGCGCCAAAATCGAGCCCAAAAAGTGCCTAACGTCCCTTCTGAAACCCTAGAAAAACAATAGTTTTGGACAAGGTTTTTATAATAGTTTTCAACCAATTTTTGTACCACTGTTTGTACAATGAGACATAGAACCCTCCTGTTGCTCCTGTTGCTGCTGCTGCTCTTCCTCCCGAGGCTGAAAACGCACCCTGCCGGACGGGGAAACACAGTGGCCCTGAAGGACGGAACAGCGCCAAAATCGAGCCCAACAGCTCTAATTCAGCTCTAATTCAGCTCTAATAAAAACAAAGCGAGTTCAGCTGCTGGGCCTGCTGCTGCTGCTGCTCCTGCTGCTGCTGCTGGTGCTGCTGGAACTGGTGCTGCAAGCCTCGAAAACACACCCGAAACATTATGCTACTGAAGGACGGAACGACCTCCAAAAACATGCTGCCCCGAAGAACAACATTTTTGCAGCTACTGCTGTTGGTGGTGGTGCAGGCGTCCGCTGCGCTGCTGTTGCAGCTATTCTTGCTGTTCCTGCTACTGTACTGCAGCTGCTGCTGCTGCTGGTGATGCTGGTGCTGGCGTCTGCTGATGCTACTGCTGCTGCTGCTGCTGCTCCTGCTGCTGGTGCGGCTAAACTTGCTTGTCTTTGCTTTACTTCTCCTGCTGCTGCTGCTGCGCCTGCTGCGGTAGTAGTCCGAAACAAAAGAGTCAAAAGTATTATTCCCTGGCGCGCTCCCCCTTGCGTCTGCCGGGGTCGGCGGATTTACAGCTCGCTGTGTGCATTTTTGCCTCCCAAAGTGAATTGCGCCATCTGCAGTCCACAGTTAGTGTATGTGTGTGTGTGCTTGCATTTGATTTTGGGTCAAATGCCCAATTTCGGTAAGTTTTTCCTGGTGAAACATGTTATTTACAGCTCGCTGTTTGTATTTTATGTCTCCCAAAGTGAATTGCGCCATCTACAGTGCACAGTTAGTGTATGTGTGTGTGCTTGCATATGATCTAGGGTCAATTGCTTAATTTCGGCAAGTTTTTCCCGGTGAATCGTGTTATTTACAGCTCGCTGTGTGCGAAATGTGGTGAGAATCCAAAGAAAAAGAAAGCAATCGCTATTTACCAAAAATAGCGATGCTTTTCGGGGTCGCGCCATCTGCCAAAAATAACGATTTTACGGCCTGGCTGCGCCATCTACCGTCACTATTTTTTTTTTTTGCGCCATCTACTTTCAGAATGGTGTAATTTTGCATGGCTGATAGACATCGCATTGACAGTGTAGGGAGCTTTTCCCGATCTCAGAGATGATACGATAGCCACCAAGCCAGCGGGGACTCCATCAGGAAGCGCGACACGCGATGGTTTGAGAGACACTGTTTGATTGGGCATTGAGATCCATTTAGTAAATGATTTACCATAATCGACTTTACAGTCAATGCTACTACTGTAAATACGTGTGAAAACTGTATCGCCGAGCCTCATAGGCTGGATAAAGATGAAAGATGTCCAAGATGGATTCCCTTCATGATTCTGACATATTCTGACCTTTGGCTTCTGCAAATTTCTGCAATATCTCTGCCTTTCTTTGCAAGTCCTCAGCTCCAGGCTTTGCCAAGGTGTGCTCTCCGAGTTTAGGGTGTTGTCAGTTGATGTCTGCCTTTTCAGTTTACAGTACTCAGCTCCACAGCTCCAGCTCAAGGTTACGAATACGAGCCCGAGATATCAGTGACCTCCCGCTTGAGGTCTCTTGGATAAGTTCTGGATAAGTCATAAGATGTTATAAAGGATCCCAAGGTCGCGCATGGTGTTCAAATTGTGTGCACAATCAGTTTAGCCTCCACTACCATCCTTGAGAACATGGAGAGGGGCACGGGTTCGGCTGAACATGAGGACTCCAATTGCAAAGCCTGATCATTTTTTGCCCACAGGTCCTGTACATGACTTGTTTACTGTACTTCCTTGATCATCCTTGTAAACTTGGAAGATCTCAAGGATTGCAGACATGTTTATTCCATCAGCGGGCATTCCCGCTCAGGTGCTCCCAAAATGGGCGCAAGCAGTGGATTTGGGTCACTCGTGATGGTCGCGACGCCGAAGGTAACAAGGCAAGGCAACTGTTCAAGTTCAGAACTTAACTGGATGAATCAAGAAATCACTTGATATCATGAGAATTCATGAGATAGATCAACTTTCAGAAATTCAAAGTATCTCGATGTCATCAATTCCTCTTTGCGTTTCTGTGCTCCAGCTCGTTTGTTGGCTGTAAATGTCTGCGCAAAAAACAATGAAGGACATTCTGAACTCCAGAACCACAACCTGGGAATATGGAATTTTGACAGTTGTAGGATGCCTTCGCTGCCTTAGATTACCGCAGTCTCTGTGATTTGTCTTTGCTGTTTGCGGTCTCTGTGAGAATCAATCGCTTTGGCTTTGCTTTCAGTTTTATCTACGCACATCCACACTTAGCATTCACAGCGCTTAATTTGGTCAATTCAGCCACACTCAGCCCACTAGGCAACCGTCTCCTTCCTGGGCCGTGACAAGGCTGGGCAACGGCAGAAGAGTTTGTAATCCCGTCCCCCTAATACTAACCCCCCTATTAATAAACAATAATAAACACCTCACGTAATTTTTATTATTAAGATCCCCTTGACCAAGTCTTGACCATAACCTCTATAAAATGCTGAGCTCAGTACCTGTTATAGAGCATTCAATATATATGAATATTACTTACCCAGATCAGCATTTTATAGTGATTTCACTTTTGTTTTCCATTTGTAACAAGTGTGAATAAGATATTCGTTTTATAGAAAAAACATATGGCTATACCATGCATTTTATAGAGGAATATAATTATATGTAAAATGAATAGTTCCCACTTACCAAGTTTCTATATTCCATGCAGCTGCCAACACCCTGGTGGCTATAAAATGAAAGGTTCCAAGATGGATGTTACTTTTCCTCTATAAAATGGCAGAAGTCAACCCCCTCCATAAAACGTTTTATGTTATGGTTTTGTGGAGTATAGTCTTGCCATTTTGTATATAATTTGTTTGTTTTCGTTTATGCAAACTTTTTTTGGGGGTCAAGCCTTGGCAGTTTATAGAAAAGATGCGTGTGGAAAAAATATGTTGATGTTTTTTCCACACCTTATTGTTTTCGCAGTAAGATCTATTTAAAACCATGTGTATGTTTGATCATGTTTGTTTAAGTGTTCTCTTTGTAAGCGTACATGTTTTGACACATCCTGCTGCATACACCATAAAACAGGGCCACTGCTATGCCACTACAGGTGTTCCCTGCTGGCATCCTGCTGCTCTAAGTTTTTCCTCTGGTCTGCCTTGCTTCTGAAGTACCTCTGGCTTCTTTTTGCATGAGCCTATGTGAATTCCGAACTTGTTTCAAATGACGTGTGCAACCAGTCAAGCAACATGGATTGCCTCAATGCATGCCTGCTCTGACCAAAGCCAGGGTCTATAAAATGAGAAGGCCCCACCCCCTACATGAATCATAAGAAGGCACAGGAAGGACTAATGAGGCTTGACTTGAGATATGAGGAGTCTATAAAATGATCAAGCTGGACCCCCTGGATACACCATAAAACAGGGCCACTACTGTGGCCACTACAGGTGTTCCCTGCTGGCACCCTGCTGCTCCCAGTTTTTCCTCTGGCCCGCTTTGCTTCTGAGGTGCCTCTGGCTTCTTTTTGCATGGGCCTATGTGAATTCCCAGTTGGTTTCAAATGAAGTGCGTAACCAGACAGGCCACATGGATTGCTCCAATGCATGCCTGCTCTGGCAAAAGCCATGGTCTATAAAATGACAAGGTCCCACCCCCTGCATGTCACATAAAAAGGCACAGGGGGTGACAAATGAGGGTTGATTTGATATATGAGGAGCCTATAAAATGATCAAGCTGGACCCCTTGCATACACCATAAAACAGGGCCACTGCTGTGGCCACTACAGGTGTTACCTGCTGGCATCCTGCTGCTCTAAGTTTTTCCTCTGGCCTACTTTGCTTCTGAGGTGCTTCTGGCTTCTTTTTGCATGAGCCTATGTGAATTCCGAACTGGTTTCAAATGACGTGTGCAACCAGTCAAGCAACATGGATTGCCTCAATGCATGCCTGCTCTGACCAAAGCCAGGGTCTATAAAATGACAAGGTCCCACCCCCTACATGAATCATAAGAAGGCACAGGGAGGACTAAGGCTTGACTTGAGATATGAGGAGTCTATAAAATGATCACGCTGGACCCCTTGCATACACATAAAAAAGAGCCACTACTGTGGCCACTACAAGTGTTCCCTGCTGGCACCCTGCTGCTCCAAGATTTTCCCCTGGTCTGCTTTGCTTCTGAGGTGTCTCTGGCTTCTTTTTGCAGGAGCCTATTATGATCTATTATGTAAATTCGCAATTGGTTTCAATTGAAGTCTGCAACAGACAAGCCACATGGGTTGCCTCAATGCATGCTTGTTCTGGTAAAAGCCAGGGACTATAAAATGAGAAGGCCCCACCCTCTACATGAATCATTAGAAGGCACAGGAAAAACTAATGAGGCTTGACTTGAGGTATGAGGAGCCTATAAAATGACCAACCTGTACCCCCTGGATACACCATAAAACAGGGCCACTGCTGTGGCCACTACAGTTGTTCCCTGCTGGCACCCTGCTGCTCTAAGTTTTTCCTCTGGCCTACTTTGTGCTGAAGCAAGTTTCATTTGCCAGTCCTATAAAAAATCTGCAGGGTTGGACGTAGGATCCAGAACATCACACCAAATGAGACTCAAGCCAACGGGGAAAAAAAGCGTGAATATACGTGAATCACACATGACCTGCAACCCAGCATTTTATAGAGGAGCACGGGGATCGTAAGAAGTGGACAAGGCATGACAAGGAGCATACAGCACAGGATCCAGAGTCTTGTCCAGAGTCTCCATCAGGAAGGAATGCTTGAGATTGTTTAAGAATGTTTAAGACATCTTTAGAATTCTTTAGATAGCTTATGAATGCTTATGAATGTTTATGAAACAGGGCTAAGCATGCTTTAAAGATCTTTAAACATCATTAAAGCATGTCGGTATATGATGGTATATGTATGTATATGTCGATTTTTCTCAGTCCTTTTTATAGAGAATGGTCGGCGGACAGGACATTTCCGTACGGATTTTTCCGTGCCGATTTGATGTGAGGTCCGTGCAGATCTGTACGGATCCGTACGGAATTTGATTGTTGATCTACGTGGACAGTTCATGGGTATATTTACGATAGCATGGGGGTAAATCAGGCAAATCAGGAGCTTTATACCATTGATTTTATAGACCTCCTATTTTACCCCAGACATAGCATCTTATAGGTCCAAAACATTTTGCAACTATAAAATCAACGTACTGACCTGGACCCCGGAATGTACAAGTGTATTTATTAAGGGGGTATTTATTATTAGGAAACCCTATTAATAAGATTAAACCCTAATAGAAACTAGTTTGTTCGATTTCAAAATCAGTTAAATTTCCTTATATAACGCGATTAAAATATTGCCACAAATTGGATTTCGAAGCGGACCCTATTAATAAATTTAAACCCTTAATTAAAAAAAACTAGTTTGTTCGATTTCAAAATCAATTAAATTTCCTTATATAACGCGATTAAGATATTGCCAAAAATTGGATTTCGAAGCGGACCCTATTAATAAATTTAAACCCTTAATTAAAAACAACTAGTTTGTTCGATTTCAAAATCAATTAAATTTCCTTATATAACGCGATTAAGATATTGCCAAAAATTGGATTTCGAAGCGGACCCTATTAATAAATTTAAACCCTTAATTAAAAACAACTAGTTTGTTCGATTTCAAAATCAATTAAATTTCCTTATATAACGCGATTAAGATATTGCCAAAAATTGGATTTCGAAGCGGACCCTATTAATAAATTTAAACCTTAATAATAAAAACTAGACGACGGATGGCCCGAGAGCGTAGAGGAGCAGGGTCTTCTCTTGTTAGTATGGAGATGCAATTTTAGAAACGGTATATGAAAGCTGTGTTATAGGCAGTCGAGAAGAGGAGTATCAAGACAAAATAGTGAGAAGTGCAAGACAATAGTTTGCATCGCAAACACTTTTACACACAGACGCTTTTACACAGACCTTTTACACACAAAGCTTTTACCCACAGAAGCTTTTACACACAGAAGCTTTTACAGACAGAAGCTTTTACATACAGAAGCTTTTACATACAGAAGCTTTTACACACAGACGCTTTTACACAAACGCTTTTGACACACAGACGCTTTTACACACAGACGCTTTTACACACAGACCCTTTTACACACAGACGCCTTTACACACAGACACTTTTACACACAGACGCTTTTTACACACAGACACTTTTTACACACAGACGCTTTGACACACAAACACATTTACACACAGACGCTTTTACACACAGACGCTTTTTACACACAGACGCTTTTTACACACAGATGCTTTGACACACAAACACAAACACTTTTACACACAGACACTTTTACACACAGACGCTTTTACACACAGAGACTTTTACACACAGAGACGCTTTTACACACAGAAGCTTTTACACACAGACGCTTTTACACACAGACGCTTTTACACACAGACGAAAGGGTTGCTCCGGCACAGGAAAAATCGCAATTTTACCTCAGTTTCTACCGATCGACCCTCATTTCGTGCGAAAGGGTTGCTCCGGTAAAATCGCAATTTTACCTCAGTTTTTGCCGATCGACCCTCATTTCGTGCGAAAGGGTTGCTCCGGGGCAAGTCAAATCGCAATTTTACCTCAGTTTTTGCCGATCGACCTTCATTTCGTGCGAAAGGGTTGCTCCGGGGCAAGTCAAATTGCAATTTTACCTCAGTTTTTGCCGATCGACCCTCATTTCGTGTGAAAGGGTTGCTCCGGGACAAGTCAAATCGCAATTTTACCTCAGTTTTTGCCGATCGACCATCATTTCGTGCGAAAGGGTTGCTCCGGCACAAGTAAAATCGCAATTTTACCTCAGTTTTTGCCGATCGACCTTCATTTCGTGCGAAAGGGTTGCTCCGGGGCAAGTAAAATCGCAATTTTACTTCAGTTTTTGCCGATCGACCCTCATTTCGTGCGAAAGGGTTGCTCCAGGGCAAGTCAAATCGCAATTTTACTTCAGTTTTTGCCGATCGATCCTCATTTCGTGCGAAAGGGTTGGCGTTTCGTGACTCGCCGCCGGCACCACCCTCGGCCTTAAGAGAGAAAGATAAAAAGAAGGCGTGAGAGAGAAGGTGAGCAGGTGTGAAGATAAGAAGATGTGAAGATGAGCAGATGTGAAGATGAGCAGATGTGAAGATGAGCAGATGTGAAGATGAGCAGATGTGAAGATGAGAAGATGTGAAGATGAGCAGATGTGAAGATGAGCAGATGTGAAGATGAGCAGATGTGAAGATGAGCAGATGTGAAGATGAGCAGATGTGAAGATGAGCAGATGTGAAGATGAGCAGATGTGAAGATGAGAAGATGTGAAGATGGGAAGGTGTGAAGATGAGCAGATGTGAAGATGAGCAGATGGGAAGATGAGCAGATGTGAAGATGAGCAGATGTGAAGATGAGAAGATGTGAAGATGGGAAGGTGTGAAGATGAGCAGATGTGAAGATGAGCAGATGTGAAGATGAGCAGATGTGAAGATGAGCAGATGTGAAGATGAGAAGATGTGAAGATGGGAAGGTGTGAAGATGAGCAGATGTGAAGATGAGCAGATGTGAAGATGAGCAGATGTGAAGATGAGCAGATGTGAAGATGAGAAGATGTGAAGATGGGAAGGTGTGAAGATGAGCAGATGTCAAGATGGGAAGGTGTGAAGATGAGCAGATGTGAAGATGAGAGGATGTGAAGATGAGAGGATGTGAAGATGAGCAGATGTGAAGATGAGATGTGAAGATGAGAAGATGTTTTACAGACCCCCACTATTGGAAGAACCCTGCGCTCAGACGCTCTCGGGAACTAGAAAAAATTGGACGGACCCTAATAATAAACACCTCGGGTTAACTAGTTTTTATTATTAGGGGGCAAAACCCACAAATGGCAGCTTTATTTTTAAATTGTTTTCTAAAGGGGATCAATTAAAAATCAAATTGGCCAATCTGAAATTTCCAAAATTAGAGATGGACCCTAGTTTTTAGTATTTGGGCGGGGTTTAGTAATAGGGGGAAAGGATTAGGATGTCTCGGAAAGGAATCCATTGTTTGAATGCAATGGGGGTCTACAGTATGAGTATCGGAGGCTATCGCAATACCTGCACGAAGCTACACCAATGGATGTAAGGATCAGCAGGCCATACAAATCAGCAGATTTGCCGAGGGTTGGGACGCTGAACAGCGAAGCTCAGCAGGCCCTTCTAGAGAGCATTCTGGAAGAAGGAAAGGAGATCCAAAGAAGAAAACGGGAGCAGCTTGGCCGACATAAAGCGTTCTGGAGGCAGTAGAGGTATCAGCTTTGCCCAACTTGATGCACAAACAAACAGTATCGCGCACAGCTAGATTCCCAACCCAGTTCAGAATTTTATGGCATTCATGAGGCGCACTTCAAGGTGCGGCATACTGCAAGATTGACGTGTGCGTAGACAAACCGCAGCCGAGGAAATTTCTAACAGTGGTGCAGGCAGGAGGCTCGGAATCAAACAACACCTTTGTGGAAGTTTTCGAGCCTTTGAAGCGAGGTGAGTAGGCTTGCAGAAGTCTGGGTGGAGCCCTACTTGTTTTATTTGACATCCTTTTCTACTTCAGCGGAACCGTTAGACAGGAACCGAATAATACTTTTTCAGCCTACCCTGGGGTTCTTAAGTCCTACTGTATCTGTGGAAAAATAGCGGCATTTTTAAGGGGTGAGGTCTTAATATTTCTAATCTTTACTACTTAGGGGTGCAGTTTTGGCGATGCTGTTTGCTTGGCGACGGAGCTGCGCTGGGGTCCTGCCTTGGTTGTTTGACGAGCGATCTACGCGCGATTTTGGATTTTGTGCCTTTGCGCACCTGGAGCCGTGCCAGAGCAACTGAGAATAGCCACTGGAAGCCAAGGGCGCCACCCCAAGCCAAGGGCCGACGACATAGGGCTGCGGCTCAAAATGTAAGGTTCCGATCCATACCCCGGTACCACATGCGATCCATACCCCATGATCCATACCAAAACGCAAGTGATCCAGACCGATCCATACGTCCGGATCACCCGCGGAACGATCCATACCCGTTTTTTGAGCCATAGGACGAGGTGCAATTCTGTGTTGCGACGCGCCTGAACAAAGTTGTTGGCGGTTTCCAGGCAGGCGCCCCGGTGTCGTCGCGTGATGCAACGCGCCATGACAGCACTGGCCCCTTTAGGCGACGCTGAGCGTCAATAGGATGGTCGCCCCATTGTGGGACCCTTGTGGCTGCGCTTTTGCTCCCGGGCGGGGCGGCCGCGCCAAGCCTCCACCCCCCCGGGCGCGCCTTTTCGACAGGCTACAGCTTTCCCTTGCCGTTTTCTGACAGATTGTAGGAACATGTAGGAACGCCTTTAATCATCATGTGCTTATTCTCACCCTGTGGCCAGATTTCCATTCCTCGCTCCTTTTTTCCCGAATGCGTAGCAAGGGTTCCCGTTTCACTCTGGGGGTCTGGGGGTTGAGGGTGTGTTCGCTCGACGTTGCGTTCACGGTCGCAACCGTTCGCAACCGTTCGCAACCGTTCGCAACCGTTCGCAACCGTTCGCAACCGTTTGCGCGAACTCCGTATGGCCGTGCCTATGGGAAGTTTTGCAGAGGTGGTCCTTTTTGGAGGTTTCAGACGTCTGGTTGCTTCGTTTCGCGTGGCAGGCGTGGCACTTCCCCAGAGCCTCCAATAGTCCTTAATTAAGGAGATACCTTAATTAAGGTCTCCAGGATTTTCTTAATTAAGGACTTTTGGAGGAACTTCTGGAGACCTTAATTGAGTGATCTGGCCTTTTTGCTGTTTTAGTGGTATAATGGCTAAGTTTGTGTCAAAATTGTCATATGGTTTTTTCCTTTGCTGTCCTTTAGAAAGTTTTACTTTTTGCAAAAAAGTAGGCAATAATCTCCTCTTAGGAGATTTGTCCTTTACAGAAACTATGCATCCTCTGAGGAGGCTTTCTTTCCTCTGTGTAGAAATCTTTCCTCTGTGTAGGAGATTTCCATATCCTTGAAGAAGCCAAGATGTAGTGAGTACCTGCGAGGGCTCAGGGCATGGGCAAAGAGATGAACAAAAAACAAATGTGTGCTAGTGTCTGCTTGACAAGAATTTCTTTTTTTCTCTTCATGCAACAGGCCACTGTGGAAGTTCGTGTTGAGACATGAATTTGCACAATGTATTTCTGGAAGTTGAAGCAATTGTATTTTCCTCAGATGCGACAGATCATGTGGCATCAAACCAAAGTAGAATGAAGCAAGGGGAAAAAAACACAAGCAAACACCAAATGGCAAACAAGGTTCTCCACCCCTTCTTCTTGAAATAGCAGCCACTGTCCCACCCATATCTTCATCTCTATATGTCCAATTCTCAGAAGGGCAGCACTCATCAAATTCACATAGCTCCTGGAAGAGGTGGTGCTTGGGTTTGAACCTCCAAAACATTCCTTCAGGATCGCTGTCAGAGAGGGAGACATAAAGCAGCAGGAATCTTTGTCCTGCTATGGCTAATTCTTGTGGGTTCCAAAGGTCTCTTGACAGCAGGCTGTAGCAAGCATTCAATTGCAATGTGGCCTGGAAAATGGTGTTTTCAAAAGTGTTGGGCTTGTCCAGCAATGCTTCTGCAATTTCCAAGCTCCATGGTATGAGAGACCGGGTTTCTCCAGCAGATGCTCTAAGCTTGGGAGCTGAGACTTTGTTTGTTTTTTTGTCAGTCTTCCTGAGCATTCCCATAGTCAAAGTATCAAGCCTGTTGTCCACTGAACATCTTCTGTAGAAAGATTGCATGGATCTAAAAACAGAGCTCAACCTCTTGTCTTTGCTGGCTCCAGGAAATCTATCAAGGAGGAAATAAATCAAATTTGCAAGAAAATCTTGGGCAACTCCCAGGTCACAAGCATGCAGCCAATCAATAACAAAGCAATCTATCTGCAGGCCTGGTGCAGAGAATAATGCAGATATTTGTCTTCCTTCTGTTATGCAATCAGCAAAATGATCCATGGTCGTTTTTCTCTGGCCCCTCCAAGCCGCGGAACTGGTGCAATCCCTGCTGGTCTCTTTGCTGGCATAGCACCTATAGCAAATGTTGTCTGTGCCAGACCACCCACTGAGGTTGAATGTGTTTTTGTACATTTCCCAGTCTCCTCTAACTTCTGTGAGAAGTGCAGTGCAATTAAAACTTTTGCCTTGGCTCTTTGTTCTCCATGAAGACAGGAATGGGTTACCAGCATGGTCTTTGGGTGGAAAGAATCCAGCTGTCAAAACTTGGAAGGACCAAGCCAAAATTGCAAAAATTGCTTGCATTGTTTTCTCCTTGGCCACAAGCTTCTTGTTGATCACCTGAGCAAAGCCACTTGGTGGTAGGGAAAGAACTCCTCAAAAGAGTCCCTTTGGATAGCTTCTGGGAGAAAGACTTAAGGAACCATATATTTGCTGCTAAAAGGCGCACAAGGGAATTCTGAGCCTGGAGAAAATGTCATCAGTTTGGCCACAGAAGCTCATTGTAATAACAATGACAGATTGGCTTCTGTCCCATTTGACAGGGCAACCATCTGTCCACAACCCCACAGGGATGCAGGTGGTGGGATCCATTCCCAACAAAGGCACTGTTTTCTCAAAGTGCTTTCTGGCTGAAGCTGAAAGCCCTGCCCTGTCAAAGACCTTCTGTTTGGAGTACCGGTTCCAGGACATGATATTTGCCAGGACTTCATGTGGCAGCAACATATTGATAGATTCTTCCAACACTTGATGTGTTTTCTGGTGCAACACTGGGATTTTAGCTGCATAGAGAGGTGGCCATTTACTGCCTTTCATGAGTTTTCTGACCAAATCTCTTTGGGCATTCTTGCCCTCATTCACAGCAAGGTCTGCCACACCTGTTGCCCCATCAAACCCAGCATCCTGAAACACAGTTGCAGCTCTTCCAGCACTGATAGCACCTGATAGAAATAAGTCTGATACATTTCTCCTGAGTCTCTTGTCAGGCCTGTCAGAATCATTTCTCTCACTAACAAATTTACTTTTTGAAAACATGGCTAGGAAAACCTGGGCCATAAACTGCAGCTGAGATTGTGCATTGTGCTTTCTCCTTGAAAGGTTCCCCATAATCTGCAAATTGCAATTTGAAAACATGTGGACACAAAAGTGTGAGTCATATGCTGGACAAACAAGCTTGCAGCAGAAGCATGGGTGGCACCTCCTCAGAGGAGATGTGGCAGCTCCAAACCTCAGCTGTTATTAAATGAGCAGCAGGAATGTGCTTCAGGAGCTGACACAAATTGCTGCTCAGTGCAGGAAGCACACCATTTTGTTGTGAGGGAGGTGAAAAGCAAACACTGCTCATCCCTGGGGTAGAAACCTTTTTTCTGCTAATTTCGAATTGCAAAATGCCAAGGATGCACAGTTGGCATGCTGCCAATGAATTACTTTCTCTCAAGATCTTCTTGTTCATCACCATCCTGGTCAGTGACTGCCTGAGTTTGGCTCTTCTCCATGTTCTTTGTGTCTAGAGGTGGAACCATCACTTGAGAATCTTCTCCTTCCAGTAGTTGCCAGTCCTTGTACTGGTCGAAGTTCTCTGCCAATTCCATGCCCTTGACATATTCAAGCCTTCGCCTCTTGGCATCCATGGTTCAGGGCAATTGCACAAAGTAATGGCAGAGAGGGCAGGTGGCTTGAACCTAATATGCTTCAACAAAGTTAAAGGCTGCAAGTCTTCTGTTAGCAGTGAACACAGGCAATGACAGACAGTTTTTTTCAGCTTGTGCTCACCAGCTCTGCAGCTTCACTTCTAAGTTCCATGTCACTGGAAATTTCCAACTTGGAAGCAGCAAGGTCAACACGCAAATCATCAAGGGCTTTGCCCACCCGGTTCAAACCATCTTGAAGATCATCCAAAAGTTTTTTCAAGTCTTTGCCAGGGTTCTGGTGCATAGCCTTGAGATCCTTGAAGAGGCTGATGATAGCTTCATATTCTGTGGACACCTTGGTCTTGGCACTGTCCACCACTTTCCATGAGCTCTGGCTCTCAGCAAATGGTTCGATCTTGATGTCTGGACCTTGGTCACACAAAGCCAGCTTCATCTTGCTGACCTGAATGTCACCTGTGTCAACCCTGACCTCAGATGTCTGGTGCTCTGCTTCCTTGGTCTTGGCTTGCTCTGGTCGGTGAATGTAGTAGTACTTGCTCAGCAAAGGGTTGGTAGGATGTTCCTTCTTGAGTGGTGGAACCTGCTGGGTGGTGATCCCCTCCCTTTCATAGCAGTCTTTGAGCAAATCTCCAAAGACTTTGGTCCTGTCATCCTCTAAGAGATCTGTCCAGCCCCACCCATTGTGCTTCAAGATCTCAGGAGCTGACCTGAGCTGAAAATGTAAAATGCATGCTGTTTTAAATGAAATGCTGGATGTGGTTTATGTATATATCTTGATGGTGCAAGACTATATGCATGGATGTATATGTCTATATGTGTGAATATATATGAAAA